CACAGGAGGTGGACCGGCCATAGACATGTTCTACAAGTCACAGGAGGTGGACCGGCCATAGACATGTTCTACAAGTCACAGGAGGTGGACCGGCCATAGACATGTTCTATAGGCCACAGGAGGTGGACCGGCCATAGACATGTTCTACAAGTCATGGGAGGACCTGGTAAACACTATCTGTTCTAACTGTATTGTTACCGGTAATTTTAATCTTAAAACATCCAGTCAAATCCTAAAATTAAAATAGTCTAATCAGTTTATAGATCTTGGTGATCATTTTAGATTATAAGGGTTCTGTATACCGGTAAACTTCTAATAGATTAATGCATTTTCTGCTAATGACTATTCTATTTTTCTGTTTGCAGTTTTCTATTTCCAATGCATGTTGTTCATTATGATATTGTCTTTGAAGGTGTTGAAGTGGCAATCGAGGGCATGATCAGCTGTGGGGTTGATACAGCAGAGTCAGAGAGTGGTATGTTATTTAATGTTGATTCTGATCATTTCTTTATATGCAGCAGTTGTCTTTATGGTTATGGGACGTGGATCTCAATTGTTTACAGGTTGTGATCCAGAAACTTAGTCCCTAGGTTTTATAATGGCTAGACCATCTAGAATATCTTGATTACTTGATTAGGTTCATCTCTCTATGCCTAGCAATTTTATATATATATATCATTCTAACACGATTCGTTTGCAATGTGTGTTTTGATTGGATACGGATCATGTTCTTATCTGCGATAGAATCATGATCAATCGTGTTAAGCTCCTCCCATCGCACTTTTGCCATGCCCAGTTTCTAACCAAAACAATATGGCGTCAAGCTCGCCTCTTGGCTAAATCCTGCTGATAAGGCTAGTAGGCAACAGAACAGAAACGACCGATGAAATGCATTTGTTGAATGAATTAAAAAGTAAAAATTACACATTCTTTGTTCTTACCTTTATTTATTACTGAAACGTTTGTTCCATCCGTGTGAAGGCATCTAGGCCTATTTAGATCAAAAATCAAATGAAACGTTTCGCATGTGTTGTATGCATTTACACAAAACTCTTCACACATCTATACAAATAATCACCAATTTTGTCAATAAGCACAGACTGGTATACATACTGACATGGAAATGTAAGAACTTGGTCAATATTGATCCAAATGTGTCGTATAAACTTTGGTAACAGGACGTTCACGAACAATCCAAATATTCCGCCTCGTCAACATACGGATCGAGCTCTTGCCAGTATGGGCGGGGCCTAATGACCTACTTCTGAAAGCTTCTTTCCTATTGGTCAGTCCGCTGCAGAATGACACGCCGCCAGTATTTTACTACGTCGCTATTTTACTACATACTTTTGTACAAGGAAATACAATGTTTCTAAACATATATTTTTTTTAAAACATATTTTATTGTAATTTATATACAATGGGAGTTGGGCACAAGTTTTACAACTTATATTAAGCCCTTTCCCTACAATATTACTACAAGTTATCAAGATGGCATATACCATATATATTTACATTGGCTTTAATTGAGAGAGAGAGACAGACAGACAGACAGACAGACAGAGAGGTGATGAAAAAGAGACAGAGAGAGGGAAGAGAGAGATAGAGAGCTAGATTCTGATCAGTTGGTAAACATATTAGCGTAGTAGATAGTACATTGTTTTTCGTGTCTATACTGGCGATTAGAACATGAAATTTGGTTTAAACTCTCGACCTGTCTAATCGCCAGTATAGCCACTCAAACAACGTACTATCCCCTAATTATAATTATCATGGGGTGGAAATCTTAACCATTTAAAAGTTATGACCCAGAGACTAATTAGTCTCCATGAGTACAGGGGAAATCCTGGAATTTGAAGACAGTGGGTCAACTTCAGCTATTTGTAATCAATATCAAAATAAAGAGGGGTCATTTTATGTTAAATTAAAAGAAACTTGAAACATTGAGGGTCAATTTCAGTTTTGAGTGGTCAATGGCCCTATGGCACACTCATTGATTATCCCTGTTTGTTGGAATATATGTTTATTTGTTTCTCAATTCTCGCTTTTGTATATATGGCTAGAGGGTGGGGATCTTACTCTGATTGCGATAACATAAGGCAAACTAGTGTTATTTATCATTATAGTCAAAGAATGTTCATCGACCCTGAGCCAGTCCGCCATTATACCAGGTCTGGTGTCAGATGAACCCCTCCACACAAGGTGAGTGGTAAATCATCATTTTAAAATAAAGAAAACAAGAGGCCCAATGGGCCTGCATCACTCATCTGGTATTACTCTCACAATAGTAACCTTCGAAGTGGACTATAAAAAACCTATAGGCAACATATCAGTATTTTGACTTAACTCATTCACCCCTGAAGACACATCTAAACTCTTCCAATTCAAAGGATGGAATAGTTCATTATGAAATTTCAGGGGTAAATGAGTTAAAGTCATTCAAAATAACTTGTTAAATGCTTAAAACACATTTGACCCCTGTAACCTTGAATATGTTTGAAGGTCATTTAATCCAAGCATGCAACTGGCCAAATATCATCATCATTGGCCTTATGGTTATTCAGGAGAAGTCGTTACAAGATTTTAACATATTTGATCTTGATTATAAGTCAAGGTCATTAAAATTTTAACAAAGTTGGTAGCCCTTCATCTCTGCATGATAATGGCCCAATAACATCACCCTTCGGGTCAGATAAGCTGAAAATTGATCATGAGATTTATTTAATTGTTCCATTGATAATTATAATGATCTTTTTCCTTGTACACAGGTAACAATGCAAGCTGCAGAAAGAAGTTGAAAACAATTACAAGTTTGGATATATCCCTAGGTGTTGAAAGTAAGTTGACATTGCTAACTATGTCCAGTATGGTAAGACAGGTAGAATGTTTAAAAATATGAAAGAATGAATATAAATTACTTTATCTTATTTATTATATTATTGTAATATTATTTCAGTGTCAGACACATGTTTCCTCTTAATTAAAAGGAGATGTCATTCTTCTTGTTACAGATCAGAGCTGAAGTAGAAGGAAAATGTTATCGTTAGTAGATTGCCAGTTATGTAGTGGTTATGCTTTGTACATTTCAGACGAATGTGAAGAAAATCAACCTCTGCCTTCCACAAGTTGGAGCAAGCACCAAACCAAAGGACAGAAAAGAGGTGATATATATGCAGATTGACTCTTGTTGACCCAATATGTGTCATAATGCTCACCTGAGTCATATTGATCTTTTTCATACACTTGAATCTACCTTTTGAAGTATTAAAGTGGTGAAAGAATGTGAATATAAGCATTATTCAATTTGTATGCTCGCGTGACTGCATAAGTTGCTAAGATATATAAATAAAAAGTTGTATGTTTGCTAATGTATAGAAGTGATACACATTTTATTTTTTTGAATAACTAGTAATGTGTTACTGAAATGGAAACCATGTATAGTTTCAGTTACATAAGAATGTAACTTGAGTTATATTTATTACTTTTTCATTTCTGTTATTGTATTGTATTGAAACCTTGACTTGTAGGGGTTCACTCAGGAGAGGCAAGTGTTCAAGAACAGTTCCTTTTGTTTGAAAAAGAGAAAATGGAAAAGGTTGAAGAGTACAGGGAAAAAAACCTTCTGATTATGAATGAGATGCTCCAGCTGCAAAGACGTAGAACAGCAGCTATTGAACAAATTGCATCATCAGACTTAGCAGCAGACTCCAAAGCTTCCCCGCCACTCTCATTATCACCAATCATTAAAAAATAAAATGAAATAATACTGACAAAGCTGTTTTTGGTAATTTCTTTTGCAACAAATTTTCAATTGGTCTTAATCAGTTTTTTGTCTTCATATTGATTAATATTTGATCAATATATATATATTTATATATAGAATGTTCTGATGTGCTTTGCAAATAAAGTTTCAAGCTGACAAATTGCCAGATGAGAATCCGGAGTAAGGAAAATAACTCTTTTTCATTTAAAAAAAATATTGTTGGAAAGACTGACTGACTACTTACATTCAGAATCTTTGTACAAGTCTTCCTCGTATAGCTGAGGCAGTCATGTTGTTGTTGACTGTTGGTACAATGAATTGATCGTTTCCAACCTCTGGCTCCACTGCTTCCATTAGTGGCACTCTATGGTCAATCGCAAAATAATGTAGCCGGATGGCACATTCAATTATTTTGGCACACTTTTGTGGTTGATAAGGAAGACTGCCTCCAGTCTTATGTAGGCACCTAATGAAATTTAAGGAACAGCTGTTAACAATTTTTTTTCACTTGCCACATTTGAATGATTTATATCTTTAAATTCTGATCATTCTGTGTATATGTCTATGTGCTTATAAGTTAATTGTTATTGTTATTTTAGGGTTGAACATCATCTTTCAATTCATCAATTTCATCTTTATATACTTCTAATAAGTTAAATAGAGATTATAGATGAATCTAATGGCACCAACCATGGGTGGATCTTTATTACATAGATCTACAAATCAACATACAGCTGAGAAAGATCTCTCCTGTAGTTTCTGAGAAATATATAGATAACAAAACTCTACATTTAAAATCCAAAATTGCCACCTGTGCTGTTACCAAAATCTTAGGTCCGTTTATGCTTATAACCTGGAGGAGTTACCTCCCTTCGATCATTTGTGATTCAGAATTATTCCGTATATTTGCATTTACAGTCGCCAGTTTCGGAACTTACCATAACCGGAGGTAGTCAACATGTGTTGAAAGCACGTTGTGTGCTCCGGCACTTAAAATGAAACTAGGTCCAAAAGACTGGCAAAGAGTAAGTAGTTTTCTACCCTATTGTATATGAGCTCTTTAGACATTTTAGGTCTAGTGTAAACATATTGTTGTTGTTCAAATATGTTACAAACTTAACATTGATTTGCTATCAGTTAATGCTGATGAAAACTCTTTGTGGTCCGACATCTTGCCCACAACTTATTATTTTCGCTAGCCTATAAACAACACTCTAGTTATCTTGTGTACATACGCAATTACAATTGTGTCAAATGTAATATTAACATTATGTCTTAGGATATAGAATTTGTCCTGGAGTGTCGGATTGAATATGTAAACAATAATTCAACTATTTGTCTTAAAATCCTCGCTACTGGCAAGCATGTTAGAGCTGTAACTTTTCTGTACATGTCAATCAGTCTTTAGTCTATGGTCAGTTTGTCTCCGTAATCTAGTCATATATGCTAGATTGTAGTAAATCGTACCAACACACTGTCCCTTCTGTAGGATCTCAGTAATATAATATCAAGCACTGATTTTGTCAATTTTCTTTATTGGAAATTTCATTTTTTTTCTAGCTTTTTACCTCCTCAACGGATAGATGACTGACGAACGGACCACAGGCGATTTGAATAGCTCACCGTCTGATAATGGTGGGCTACAAAGAACTTTCAACCCTACACCACCCTAAAGTTTCATTAAATGCTGCAAAAACTGGTTACATATTACATTGGCTACATACCTGAAACGGGCTTTCAGCACACCAAATGCCCTTTCTACGACATTCCTTGTGCGACAGTGAGCTGAATTGTACCGCTCTTCCTGACCAGGTCTTGGATTGTTGATTGGGGTCATAAGCCACTCCTTTAAAGGATATATACCCTGAGTCTCCTAACAGCCAACCTCCATCTTTTATATGTGACAGATAGCCTGGTAAAAAGCTGCTCTGCAGAATAAATGCATCATGTGTAGATCCTGGGAATTTGCATACTGCATTTGTAAATCTGCAATTGAGATGTGAAATCCTTTGTTATGTTAAATGAATGTGATTTTGCTATGCAATAAACAAGATCATTAGGTCATTTTAGTTTTGTGGGAGGAAAACCGAAACCAAAATCATTTTCTGGTCTGTCTGTCAAGAACTCTTACCATTACCCATAACATTTTGGACTACATGTATATGAGACAGAGACTTCATATTTAGTCAAAATTATGTGCCAGGTCAAGGTCAAATTTAAAGGTAAAAGTTCAAATATGGTTGTGTCAAACTTTGTAGGAATTTGGCATGGCCAGAACTGATTAGCACTGTATTCCAAAATCACCTTTTTTTTAATTCATAGCAGATTGAAAAGATAAAGATAACAGAAAGGAGGAGGCTAAAGGGATATGAGACTTCACATTGGTAAAACATTGCTTTTGAAACTTTTCTGACAAATGAAGATGATTGTTTGAATTGTGTATACTACATGTGAATAACTTTAAACTTAGTTTTGCTGCATACCTCAAGTCTGAATTTACTACCCCTTGTACATTTATGGAGTGAAACCCTTTCCTGCACACATAAAGGTGTTCGTCACCTGATGACATTCCTTGGATAAGAATCTGTGTGCTATCTACAGTGGTGGGGAATTCAATATTCTTCAGAGTGTCGCAGATTGAATTGATGACACGGTGGATTACCAAACTGCCAGATGACTTAGATATCCCATGAATATCTGCGATCACTGAGAGATAATCTCCTTTGGCAAGAAATCTCAGACAGGTCAAGACCTGAAATTACAAATGTAGACTTAAATGTACAACCAGATGAGGTTAACATTTTGTGGATTTACACACCCAAAAGGATATATGTTGGCAAAATATGCAATAAAACTGGTATTGTATGTTGTAAAAAACTGTGTTTTTTATGAAAAAATATTATACAATTATGGACTTCAGGTGAGGTCTATCCCTGATTTATAGGCTCCACATAAGCGTTAAAACAAAACTAAAGGAAAGACAACAATAACTTCTGTCCGCAAAGCTTATAGGTATCAATAAAGTCAAACATCAATTAAAACCAGATTATAGACCAAATGCTTGTATGGATAAGTTGAAGATAGCACATGTAAGTTTCTTATTATATCAGAAATACACTTGCTAACTGAATACAAATTGAAAAAAAGCTGAATTAGTACATGTATTTCTTGCTAAAACTAAACGGCACGATCTCCAATCAATAAAGAATCAGGGATAGACTGAAATTACCTAGGCCTATGTTTAGTAGCTGTTTGTAACATTTTCCTTTTTATAGGCTGAGGTCTGTAACAGATTTATACTCGTCACATGACGTTCCTCTAATCAGGGCTTGAAATAAGCACCAGTCATATAATATTAAGAAATATTCAAAATACTTTATCTGACAATATCGTAGGTTATCGTAAGCATTATGAAAAATCTGGAAACATTGATTCTATCTAAATGCACTCTTACTTGAGAAAAGCTAAATACCATGAGCTTGCATTGGGAATTCTCCAAAAACTCTTAGATCAAAATTTCCTTTAGCAGAAGTTGCTAAAACCCCATATATTTTTTTAGCAATTAATAATTGGCTTTAGCAAACTCAAGGAACCAGTTTGTGATCAATTTAACATGTTTCTACTTTATTATTTTAATTAACAGTGTTTATAAACTTTGTCATTGCTACAAATCCTTTCCTTTCCTTGTTTTTATTAGCTCACTTGGTCCAAAGGAGCTTATGCCATACCGCAGCGTCCGTCGTCCGTCCGTCAACTTTTCCTTTCAAACGCTACTAGTCCTGAACAACCAAGTAGATTTTGACTAAATTTGGTCTGGAGTATCCTTAGGCCAAGGGGACTCAATTTTGTATATAAACAGTGGGTGTGGCCCCCCTGGGGGCAGTGGGGCGGGGCCCAATAGGGGAAAAAGAGGTAAAACCTTGAAAATCCTTCTTCTACCGTAGGAATTAAGGGATTTTATCCTAATTTAGTTTGGAGCATCTTTGGGCCAAGGGGACTCAATAGAACTGACATAGAACTAATGAAAATGACACAATGGTAGGCGCCATGATTCCTCTTGGATCTCTTGTCTAGGCCTTCCCATATATTAACTTCATCTAGAGATGATAGAATTAGAAGACATAAATCAGAAAATTCAAATTAATATTCTTATATATTTAAATTTATCGTGAACAATCATAAAACATCAGAATTTTAGTTCATCAACTCTGGTCAAAACCTGAAAATATCCTCTCCGTTCAGGTCTTTAGTGTTTCCCAAAGAATAAACATAATTCGCACCTCTGAGAGGACACCCTGACCTATATTTTACGGAGCGTCCCTGGAGATCGGCAAACTTGGAATGAAAACTTTTCAAAACTGATCAAATGTCTTCGTTTAAACAATTACTCGTGATATGGCCTTTCCACAAGATTGTTTTAAAATGTCTGTGTTGATAATAGTTCTACGTTTTATTGAGAAATCAGTAACTTGACAAGATGATCTAGGCCTAACAAAGGGTCGTTTTCTCTTCCCAAGATCTGTGACCCGGTAGCGCAAGCCGAGAAATTACATAAGCAGAAAAATTACCTGAATATGGGCAGGGATGGAGTGCGATCTCCAAGTTTGTGGCTGTATTCCGTCTTTGATGCCACCAACCACCTGCAGAATGACCCGCCTTGGAAATCTCTTACTATATTTAATTTGATGAACGCTGCCATTTTTCTCGAATATGAACGCGAGTATGTTCCTTTTTGCGTAAGTTAAGATACGTAAGTTAAGAAAGTTCGTAACTTAAGAAAAATCGCAATTTAGGGGAGCCCCTAAGCTGTCGTAAGTTACGATGGTTTTTTATGCCTAACTTAAAATACGAAGTTTAGTAAGACGGAGATTTAACGTAAGTTAAGGTTACGATAAAATCGTAACTTAAGTTGCTTATAGTAAAACTCACCCCTGCACCGGGATACTGGTAGCGACATGTCGCTTCATAACCAGCAGTGAGATACTGGTAGT